CTTTTATATTGTTTATTTATTTATATATACATACATATAAATATATATATATATATATATATATAGATTGATAGTTAGATAGATACGCACTATTGGAAAGAACTATTGGTCAGTACTTTTAACAAAAAACATTTTTAAATAAAAAAAAAGAAATATATAGTAAAATTAATTAACGATTAAAATGACGAAAAATTAACGGCAGAAAGATAGACGAAAACCCGGTTTATTTTTTGCATGAAATGAAGATGATAAAATATATATGAATGAAACAAAAATAAAAGTACATTTTTGAAAAGAACATATTTTTTACCTTTTTTATAAAAAAATAGTGTAAGGTTTTAATTCTTAAAACATTTCTATTTCAAAATAATTCTTAAAACATTTCTATTTCAAAATTATGCGTAATTGTAAAAGAAATTGCCTTTTTTTTATTACTTTTTTGTTTAATTTCTTTCGTTATTGTGAGTGCGGAATTTTTCAATTGAACTTTCACCGAGTGCTTCACGAGTTAGAGTGAATAAATTACAAAATGCGCTCATTGCGGGATGATAATATAATACAAGCTCCATTCATTTCTTGACCGCTACACGTAGAATTTATACCACCATTTTATCGATCAACTCAGTTTGTTAATTGAAATTCTCTATTAGCAAGAGTGTTCAAACTTGAATATAGACTCTTTGTCTGATTCCAATACAAGTCACTATTGTTTTCTAAATGTTGTAAGCAACTTTAGAGGCCAATAATCAAAATTTCGATAATTTTCGACATAAACTAACTGGCGGAAAACTAAAATACATAAATTTAAATTTTTAAAGATCCGCTTTTCAAGGTGACTGAAAAATAGAACTTATTAATGTTCTCAGTAAATAATTACGAAATCAGACTAATAATGTTTTTTATCTGCATAACATATTTTTTTGTCCAATTTAAATATTTAGCATCAAAATATGATGAGGGAAACTGCAATCCAAAAATATTGTCTTACTTAAGTCAGAAGAGCTGTCAAAAGTTTACGCGCATATTGTTATTATTATCACTTTCTGTGTCTATCACTACACGGACAAAACAGATCTGGTAAAATTAACGTACTGTTTGGTAATGATATTTCGAAAAAAAAAAACGAATTTCTGGCTTTAAAAACCAAAATATACAGCATTTAAATTATTAATTTATAGTTCTTACAACAACACACAGTAGGAAATGAAAAACTGAAAAGCAAATTCAACCGAATAAATGTTTTTTACACCATGCTCTAAGGTATCAGCTAATTCAATAGGAAAAGGAAAAAATTGTAGGAAATTAATTGTAGCAAATTTTCTGCATTTACCATTTTTTATACCTCATAAAACAATAATTTTGTTAATTTTGCTTTTTTTTGTTTTATGTAAATTTTTTTAATAAATTTATAATTATTACTAAAACGTTTCAGTAAAAGTATACTGAGTTATTTGATCTTCCTATAAAGCCAGACACGCGGTAAATTTTATCACATTCCGGTAGTTTGGCCATACTTTTTTTTTCAGTATGAGACCACAGCTGATTAATACTAAAATATTTCTAATAAACATACTAAAATATTTCTATGGGGAATTTCAAGAAACAAAATACAAAATCCATGTTTGATCGAAATTTTTTTCCTTCTGATGTACATGCGAGTAAAAAATTTTTCTTCATGAAAAAAACAGGTTTTTTATGTTAATTGATGGGTAAAAAGATGCACAAGAAAAAATTATTTTATCAAACTTGTTCCCTTGCTAATTTGCTTTAGCGTTAGTAAAGATATAATAGCCATATTTTTAATAAAATGCTGTAGAACAAATATAATTTATTTAAATGTGTAATTTTTCATACGATTAAATCAAGATCAGAAAAACATAAAGGTAATTAATTTATGATCATAATTTTCGAAAATTAAAGTACACAATTTGTTTTTATGAAATCAAACTCCTTTCTATTTTTCTAATAAATGAAAAAGCAATGAAATATTTCCTCTTATAAATTGGAAAACAAAATATTCAAAAACAATCGAGATATTTAAGATCAACATATTTTTTTTGAATGCGAGGTTAAATATTTTTTTTCCTTTGAAGCATAGATGGCTGTCTAATTTAATATTGAACTATTTCAATTCGCTCACCCTTCAAGTCAAATATGTGTTAATATTTTTTTAGTGGAAGATTCGTTTTAATTCTTTATTTGAAATCTATAATGCATAAGCTTTTAACAGAATCAATTTTTAAGTGGAAAACTCCTTTTCGATAAAAAATGAGTAAAAAATCTTTTTTCCCTTAATTTTGAGAAACTAGTTTTAAAGTAATTGTTTTGTTTCATTGCTTAATCGATTAACAGTACCTCCAAAAATTCTATATTAGAAGAGCAGATAATTATAAATGTAACAGATTCAAATAGTTGAATCAGCATTATAAAAATTAAGAGTAGTTTTAAGCTTTAAAAAAATGACAGAAAATGTAATGGCATTATTTATTGAATAGAATATTTCTTAAAAAAAATATTTTCGGCTTAAACTATATTTCGTCCAAACAAAAAAAATTAGCAATTAGTATACACTGTTAAAAATTTTGGTCAGCAGTTGCAGTTAGGGGTTATAGTAAACTAAGAGGGCATTTTTGATTGTTTGTTTATTTATTGAAAACACATATTTTGATAAGCATTTGAATTATTTTATGGCTTCATTGAAGAAGCATATCGTAAGAAAAATAAGCACAGTTTTAGTAATATATATGCGCACTACCTCTTTCAAATAATTGTAATTTTGTTCATTTATGTACTTAAAAATACATTTACTTTACCTCAACAATAAAAATAGTGGCAACTATACACCATTTTTTAACAATGTAAGGACCTATATATCCTAGGGGCCCGTTTACCAGAGCATCAACTGTTTTTTTTTTTTTTTTTTTTAAAATTCATTTTATTTATTTATTTTTTGAATCATATAAAAACAAATATTTCCATTTAATATACTAAAATAAAAAAGAAACAATTTTTCTCAACATAATATCCAGTTTTGACAAGTTTTTAAAAATCAAAAGAGGTTTTTATTTTGCAAATTATAAAGTTATTTCCGAAGTTAAAATAAAAGAAAAAAAGAAAGAAAGAAAGGAAAGAAAGAAAAAAGAAATGAAACGAAATGAACGAGTAATTGCACTTTGCAGGCAAGGGAAATTTCGTTGGAAAAGTAGAGCTAGCAGTAACGAGGCCCACATGAAAAAGCTTTAAATACAGAATAGTGATGCAACGTGAGATTTAAGGAAAATCCATGAAATTGTGCATTTAACATGAGTCGTTATTTACCAATGAATCGGTAAAAAATGCAGTAAATTCTAGATTATAAGTATTGATTCCCTTAAATAGTAGTAATCATTTTTGAGTCCATTTGAACTATAAACAAGCAATTTTGACTAATTTATATATTTCCAGATGATATTTAATAAAAAATAATATTAATTTTTTTAACTGCTCAACATTGTGAACGAACCTTATCCTGTCATAGTTTAAAAGGGCAATCAGTGGTGGTGCTGAAAAAGAACACTAGAAGAGCTCATATTCTAAACATATAGAAGAACACCTATAAAGATGTTTTTCTATATAGAAGAACACCTTTAGCTCATATTCTAAAAGAGGGAGAAATCGGTAAAAACAAATTCAATGTAAGGAAACGCGGTTATCCTACTTATCTAATATGCTAATTTATATAAATTCGACATAACTTCAAATAAATTTAAATTTTCGTATACCCCTGGAAATATGTTCAAAGCATTTGAGTATAATATAAGAAATTTTATGACAGCTAATATACATGAAAAATACGAAATCAGGAAAAAATTACGGTTACCGAAAGTAATATTTTCTAATATTTCAATAAAATATTAGAAAATATTACTATATATAATAATATTTTATTATTAAGCTCACTGATTTAAAATTAATTTGTATTTCGTTTTAATTTCTATACAATAATATCATTGAACTTTGCTTTATTAATTTACTTATTAGTTAATTTACATATTTCACCACGTTTTTGTCATGCATTGAGGAAGAACGTGCGGAGGCGCTCGAAACATGTTTTAGAATTTCATAATTTTCCCCACAGTTTTAAAAAAATTGGGTAAAATTACCGTACTGTTGGACTAGAAACATTTCTGGTAATAAAAACGTAAATCTGGTTAATACTACCATATTTTACGGTATTTTAAACCAATCTTTTGGAAGTTTTTCTCGTTCATATGCTAACGGTTTAACAGAATTCCAGGTTTATAATTTCTGGTTCTGATCAAAACAATTAAACAGAAATTTTGGTTTTCAAAATTACAGTTCTTATTATTACGCATTTAGTTAGAAATGCAAAACTGAAAAGTAAATTTAACCCAATAAATAAATTTTACGCTATGTTTTAAGGTATCACGCTAAGTTTACCAAATTTCACCTCATCTAACAAATTTTATTAGATATAAAAAACTATTTTATAGGCCAATTTTTATCATATATCTACAAGTTATTTTTTGTAACCATGTAATTTAAAATTTTTCAGATACAACTATATGGATACAACAGTGATCTTTATCAAAATATTTCTGAAGCAATGGCACTGCAGAAAAATCAAGGATTGGTTGGAATATCTATTTTGTTGCAGGTAAGGCAAGTTTTTTCATGCTTTAAATTTAAAATAATTAAAGACCGGACTGTGTAGAGATCAGGGAACTGGCCTTGCACCAGAAAGGTTCTGGGTTTGAAACCCGGGTGAGACATGGATGCTCTTTCCTGCTCTATTTTATCTGCCCTTGCTGTGGGAGCAGCGTTGGCTCACCAAATATGGTGCTCCTGGCAGAGTGGCCAACAAATATGCCCTATAAATGCCTGAATTGATGAAATGTTAGCACAAGTGGGCAGTGGAAATTTGAAATGTTAAAAAAATTGTTAAGAAATCTTAACTTAACAAATATATTAGTTTAATTCAAAAGTGATTATTCAAGGGATTTATAAATCAAATTCAAAACGCTGAAGAAAAATAATGGTTTTTAAACCTAACTTTATTTTAAAAAAAACTTTAGAACAGAGTAAATTTAAAAGCAGAAATTCTGAAACTAAAAATTTTAGCAAATACATTAAATTTGTTGCTTTTTCCTTAGAAAAGTTTTCAGGATTTGCAAAATTTTTCTTTCGAAACATTATTGTATTTAATAATTTCTCTCGTATTCTGAAATAATTTCAATAAAAATACAATTTTCTCTATTAAAAGCTCCTTGAAGATAGTTTTATTATATGCGCTAGACTTTTCAAATAACTGAAAAATGCAGACTCCCTTCTATTTAAATAATAATAATAATAATTTTTATTAGATGCAGTGAAGTAGTTTAGCTGTGATAAAAATATCCCATTTTGTTTTTGATAACATCGAATGTAAAAATCTTTAAAATTAATTGATAATCATTAATAGGGATTAGAAATACCTATATACTTTAGATATTTGAAAATAATTTAATCCACTAAGTACTATTAAATACGGATTTGAGTTTTTGGAAAGAGATTTTTTACCAGCATAAGCCTGTTACTTTAAAGTGATTATCTAGTCCTAACTGTTGGAGATATCGAAGAATCAGAAAAGATTTTAACAATGGGAGAAAATTATTTTATTTACGAAAAAAAAAACGAATTATGATAAATTATGAGGATGAATAGTCATTGTAGATAAATGTGATGATTGAATATTTTAACATTTGTTATTGCTATCCGAATTTTGATGATTGAAAAAAAATTTTCTTTCAATATCGTTAATGTTTTCTAAAAATTTGGACATTCTTAAAATTTAAAAGGAAAAAAAAAGAAATATTGTTTGTTGCATTTCTCATTATATGTACATGGTGTGAATAATTGATTATTTAACTATAGCCAAATACTTATTATTTATAATTACTGTGTAACCCGTTTAAGAAGTTCCCGCGTAAAAAAATTTCCCACGTTAGAAATTATATTTTGAAAACACCAAATACCATTATGTTATATTTACCTTTATAAGAAGTTTTTTTCCCGATTAAGAAGTTTTCCCTAGCTTCCATTTTTTTAAGCTTATATTTAAAATGTCTTATCTTGTTTTACCTTTCCCTCAGAAACAGGTTTGTGAACTATGCGAAATTAACAATGACCACTGACCTTCCTTGCTCCTTCTATGTACTGTAAAATAGTAAAGAAGAACGTTTGACAATTTTAGATGGGCCAGTATGAATGTTACAGAAAAATTACCGATTTTAGTTATGGATAAATCGAAAAAACCTCTATGTTTTCCAAATTTTAAGTCGCTGCCGTGTGATTATGACAGTAATCAAAAATCCTGGATAACAATTGCAATTTTTGAAGATTATTTCAAAAAGAAACAATGAAACATCATAATCTTTGTAGACAACTGCATTTATATACAGGGTGTCCCAAAACGACCGCATAATCTCTGAAAAGCTAGATTTCTCGTTGGGAGCACATAAAAATTGCCCAAAGAAGCGTTCCTGTACGATCCATAGTTTACGAGAAAAATACGAAAAACAAAGTATGACGTCACTGCTGATGCAAGAAAAAACACTTTATTGGACATATCCACGGCGTGCTCAAGCCTGCCTCGACATGCACGGCGGACACTTTGAACATTTGCTTTGAATTGTGCATAGTCTACTGCTGTTGATATGTTCAATAAAGTGTTTTTTCTTGCACTGGCAGTGACGTCATACTTTGTTTTTCGTATTTTTCTCGTAAACTATGGATCGTAGAGAAACGCTTCTTGGGGCAGTTTTTATGTACTCTCAACGAGGAATCTAGCTGTGCAGAGTTCATGCGGTCGTTTTGGGACACACGGCATATANAATAATTTTCTTGTTTATATAAATATATAAACATCAGTTGCCTTCATTTTAAAAACGGTTGTTAGAATCGTTTATTTTGAACAGAACCAATTAAATTAAATATCTGTATCGTAAAAATATATCAACTTTGATAGCAAGCACTTTGCTCGAACTTCCAGGAAGTCAAATACCCCTTTAATCTTAATAATGATGAAAAGTTTTGATATAAATATGCATTTATTAAATTGTTTCGTTAATTCATCTTAAAGTATGAAGCACAGCTGAAGTTACTACTATTGTTTTCTTATTTTTTTCAATACATAAATATTTGTTAACTCTTTCAGACTGGAGACTTATCAAATCCAGAATTAAGGATTATTACCAGCCAGTTACACAAGATAGTGCATAGAGGTAAATATATATTTCATATTCACGAAATTACTCATCTAAATGGACTCATGAAGTACTGGATTACATCTTCAAAACAAGTCACTCTAATATTTTTATGTTTATGTAAAAGTTTAAGTAATTCTAATTAATTTAACGAATGTAATATAGTATTTAAAATCATCTGAATAAGCAATGTGCTAATTCATTTCTGGGAAAAGTTGGAAAGCTAACTATATTTTATTGCTTATTATTCACGTGCATTACATATTCTTGTTTTGTATTGTTGTTTCTCTTACGTTTATTATTTTATTCCTATTGGATAACTTTTGGGTAAAAATATTGAATTCAATTTCTTTTTTGCATATTCTTGCACAAGTTAAAACCCCAATGTAGTCAGGTTTACTAACTATATATCTTCGATCTTTGTCATCAATTGCTGAAGAGACACTGAAAATTAGACTTCATGTTTAACTTAAAATCCAATATATTAAAATCATGTTTTCGTAGTAATGAGCAAAATATTTAACAATTAATTAATTGAAAATCGACTAACAGAATGTGCTATCAGCACGTATAAATGTTAGTATAAATTGAACTCAACTCAATAACTTTGTTTAAAAATTTTCTTTAAAAAATTTCATTTTAAAAAATGCATGAATTAAAATATCTACAGAAAATTGTTTCTATTTTATTACCTCTAGATATTTCATCTTTTACTAACATACGTTTGTATCTTAGCTATCCAATTACGTCTTTATTTTTATAAACATTTCCCTAAGTGGCTTTTTCTTTTCATTTAATATTGACAGATAACAATTGACTTACAATACACATTATATAGAAACAAAAATAAATAAATCGATAAATAACTTATACATAATTAAACGGAGGGAAAAAGCATGGATAATGCTACCAGAATATGGTAACAATCACTGTGTTTCTGACTCTATGGAAACACATAAGAGTTCGGTACTCTTTACCGAAGCGCTTTAGTAGTGATTTTGGTAAAATTTAATAATAAAGTATAATTTCTGATAATTAGGAAAATGTGTTAAAATTTTGTAATTTTATAATGATACCTAAGAGAGTGGCATAAAAATCCTTTATTCTGTAAATTTTAAACTTCCGCTTTTCGTTTTTTTTCCTTTTTTCTTTCTTCTTTTTTTGCTAAATGTGTGATGATACGAGCTGTAATTTTGAAAACCAGAATTGCCGATAAACTGATTCCCTATGTACTGAAAAATTATAAAATGAATGATTGAAATACCGTATATTTTTGTTTCATTAGCCAGAATCATGTTTTTTTTTTACAAAATTTTATATTTCTTTACTGTTATCTATTTTTACCAGCATTTATTTCTCCCTGTACAAATTTCTAATCATTCTTCATTGGTAAAAAATAAATAAATAATACTTATTTTTTAATAATAGCGTCGCCTTTGAAGATGCCGGAAGTGCTACACATATATCGTTACGCGGTGGGCACCTGTGAACCAAAGTTACGGAGGCAAACAACATTACCAAATTACCACACTGCTACTCATATCTGTTCATAGGGTAGGCCACATTCACACATCAAACAGAGGACAACACACAGAGAAACATCCATGCCCTGATCGAGATTCGAACCCTCAGCCATTTTCTTCACAGTCAGGCAAGCTAACCATTCGACCACCTGACCGACCCACAAATAAAAATATAAAATATTTTTAATGCTGCGTATATAAAAGTTTTTTTTTAAAAAATCCCTCTCCCACAGAAAAAATAGTGAATTTTTTAAGTATTAAATTAAATAGATCATTTACGAGATTTTAAATAGCCCTTCAAAACGAAATGAATAATTCGATTTCAATTCGAATAATAGAAGGAGTTTATTCTATCACTTACATTCAATAAACTAAATTTATTATTTAGAAACCAATAATGCAAAAACATCAGCTAAACACACAACAAGCAGATAAAATTAGAAATAATCGACTCTCTTTACCTCAAAAAGACCATAAGAATCCCTCTTTGGAATTGATAATGTATGGAAAATTAAACAAGCTGTAACATATTCTCATGTAACTCCTCTAAATTTATTCATTACATAGTCCACACTTATTTACCTTCCCCGATGTGTTTGAGTCCAACTAATTTCACATTCTATGATTACTATTAAACAGAAAAGATGCGAAATTTTAATAAGAAACACAGTTTAACAACTTCTTAGATATACAGCCGGATTAAAAAATTCATTCTAAACTATTTCTGCTTTTTTCAACTCTTGTCATTTCATCAATTTCCAACAGAAATTTCAGCTTGTCTATGAAATTAAATCATTAAATTTGGTATAAGAATTTTCTATAATTTTATAAGCATTTCCCCATCGGCTTACTCTTTTCTTCAGCATCGACTGATGACAATTTAAATTTACTGACAATATACGCTACATGAAAACAAAAGGTAAAAATAAATAAATAAAGCAAATAAATAAGACAAACAAATAAAACAAATAAATAAGCATACATTTCACAACATTCTTTACTGTTAAACAAATAAACATATAAAATATGTATGAATGCTCAGTATATAAATAATTTTCTTGTTTATATAAATAAAAAAAAAATAGTAATAAAGTTTTATATTAAGTTGATCTTTTATGTTGTTTTAAATTGATCTCAAAAACAGGCTGGATGCTTTCGTTTTTAATTTCATATATTCGTTAAAATAAATTTATTATTTAGAACTCAGTGAGGCAAGAGCATCAACCAAAAACACAACAAACAAATGAAATTAGAAATTATCGGTTTTCATTATCTCAAAAAGACCATAAGAAAATTAACATTCATTGCTCTCTTAGGAATTGATAATGTATGGAAAATTAAACAAGCTGTAACATATTCTCTACTAACTCTTCTAAATTTATTCAATACATTATCCACAATGATTTACTTTCCTCGATGCCTCTTGGGGCCACCCTACTCAGCGAGTCTTTTTGAGTCCAACTAATTACACATCCTATGAGTACTATTATACAGAAATGATACAAAACTTTAATAAGAGACATAGTTTGACAACTTCTTAGATATACAGCTGGATCTTTCCCCTCTCCAAAATTGTACTCCCACAGACCATATATATTACTTAACCTTTATTATTAAGAGACAATGAACTATTGATCTGAACCTTCTTGTTCGACTAGTGCAATTTTCCCTGGAGAAACATTAAGCACAACTTCGAAACAGTAGCGTACGGAGAAGAACCCATTGATCGACATTCGAGGGCTTCACAAAGCTCTCAGTATTTCTTTAGATAGAGCGATTTAAAAAAATATATTATAAAAGTCAAAAAGCTGGGAGTAATTTTTGAAATGGATTATCTATTTTTTCTCTCTTCGTTTTGCTCTATTTACATTTGTTGGCGGTCAAAATTATTGTCATCAATTATTATTTTAAATCAGAATATATGTCTCAGAGGTAATGTCAGAAAAACGGATGGTTTATCCGGAGAAGTATTTCTATTTTGTCATAAAATAAATCTCTATTTTCTGAAATATGAGTTTGTAATTATATTATATTTTAAATGATAAATTTGACTTTTTTGTTTGGTATTTCCAGAACTTATCTTCACTTTTATTCAAATTTTTTGTAAATATGTGTGGTGTGAACATTAAATATTTAAGGCATACCTAATGATGTTTATTCAAGGAAAACATAGCAGGTATTTAATATAACGATGTGTCCAGTAATACAGTATGTAGTTTAAGAATTAATTGCATCTAAATTTGAACCTCTGTGAAATTGTAAAAAAATAATAATTTTCATTATAATTTAACAAAAGTAATATTATAATATTTTGAGTTATCATGAAATACCTTCATCCATGGTTACTTAGGACACATTTTAATTTAAGAAGTCGGTATCAGCCAATTTAAGAACAATCAGCCGAGAAAGTAGTTAGTATCTGCAAAATACGAATTTAAAAATATGTTGTATCATTACACGTATGAAAGTTTTCTTAAACATAGATATATTAAGAAGAAAATATATAAAACAAGGAGTTTAAGTTACTTATCTAAATGGAATAACGTAACCCTGCAATAAGAATTCAATATTAGGCCTACATTACTTGCTAATGGCATCACAAAAGTACCTATATTGCTCAAAACATTTATTTTTACTATAGAAAATGAAAGTGTTCAAAATATTCTTTATGCTTTTATTTCAGGAAGTTCAATTTTAAGTGAAAGCCGAAACAAAAAGCATAGTAATATCTATCCTACATATATATATATATATATATANATATATATATATATATGTATAGATAGATGGATAGATAGATAATGTCTGCGTATGTAAGGGGGAAAATTAGTAAAATGGTTTATTCCTAATTCGCGTTTGTATATGAAGGCCTACAGATATTACTAATATAAATAGTCTAATATTTCTATATTTCTTTATATTTCTGAATCCTTCATGGTTTTAAGTAAAAATAAATAATTTTTGGATCGGTTAAATAATGTTTTTTTTAATAGTTTAAAGGAATTAAATACTATACATTTTTTATTTTTCTCTCCTTAGAACTTCTTTTTGATTCTGAGTTAATGTTTTATTACGTTTTTCCAAACATTGTCATTCTTAATTTTTTTTCTTTCATCGATGACAAAACTGACTTCTAAATGTCTATATTTTGACCAATTATATTATACATGGTAGCTAAAACCTCACTCTTTATTGTTTTGCTTTCTGAGAAATTTAGTTGAATGCTGGATTAGTTTGCTTTCCTTCTTTCTTCTTGCATATAAACTCTTTGCATTCACGTTAGAATTATTATTATTTTGGGTATAGATGCATTATAAAGAGTAATTTTTATCATAGCATAATTATTCTTTCTTTCGAAATGCCTTAATTGTGAAGGAATGCATTCCGAGGAGAAGCATTGCGTTCATTTCATCAAGTTTTTATTCTTATTTTTGTAATACATCAAAGATCTTTATATCAAATAATATTATATGTTATGTAATATATTGTAGCATT